GACAGAGTCTCGCACTGTTGCCCAGGCTGGAGTGTGGTGGCACAGTCTCTGCTCACTGCAACCTCTGCCTCCTGGGTTCAAGCAGTTCTCCTGCCTCATCCTCCTGAGTAGCTGGGATTACAGGTGCGTGCCACCATGCCCGGCTAATTTTTTAGCACCTGGCCAACCAATAGGCTTTCTTAAGAAAATGAGGACTGGTGTAGTGGCTTACGCCTGTAATCCCAGCACTTTGGGAGGCCGAGGTGGGTGGATCACGAGGCGAAGAGTTGGAGACCAACCTGGCCAACATGGTGAAACCCTGTTTCTACTAAAAATACAAAAATTAAGCCAGGTGTGGTGGTTCACATCTGTAATCCCAACACTTTGGGAGACCGAGGTGGGTGGATCACCTTGGTCAGGAGTTCAAGACCAGTCTGGCCAACGTGGTGAAACCCCGTTTCTACTAAAAATACAAAAATTAGCCGGGCATGGTGGCGGGTACCTGTAATCCCAGCTACTCGGGAGGCTGAGGCAGGAGAATCCCTTGGAACTGGGAGGTGGAGGTTGCAGTGAGCCAAGATCATGCCATTGCACTCCAGTCTGGGAGAAAGAGTGAAACTCCATCTCAAAAAAAAAAAAAGAAAATACAAAAAATTAGCCAGGTGTGGTAGTAGGCTCCTGTAATCCCAGCTACTCAGGAGGCTGAGGCAGGAGAATCACTTTAACCCAGGAGGCGGAGGTTGCAGTGAGCCGAGATCTCACCACTGCACTGGAGCCAGGGTGACAAGAGTGAAACTCCCATCTCAAAAAAAAAAAAGAAAAAGTAAAGAAATGAAAGTTCATTGGTTGGGGAAATGCCTGAAATTTATGGAACTTCCCTAGAACCCTTTTGAGTTCTGAGGAGCAGTATTTAAACCCCTGACCTAGACCATTCAGTCTTTGCTGAGGAAAAGTGTCACTTAGAGTTGCCCCTTGTGTTTGTTATTCGTTCCCAGCTTCACTGCACGGTGCCTGCTTACAATTTCCCAGTGACTGCTATGGCCATTGCCCCCAATACCAACAACCTTGTCATCGCTCATTCGGACCAGCAGGTAAGGGAGATTCCAGTGCTTTCTAATGCCTTCCTGCTGGATAGTAACCTGGAAGCTGGGATATTAGGCAGTTACAGGGAGCCTTTCTTTGAAGGTGTTGGAGGATATAAGGTAGTTTTCTCCTGTGTGAAGTAAGTAAAGCTTCCTTGCCTGTCTGGGCTCATCATAGGCCAGCAATATGCATTGGTTTGATGGGATGCAGTTTAAATGGAGAAGTGCTAAGATTCTAGAGTAAAGAATCACAAGAGGGAGGAGGAGTTTTGAAGTACTCATTTTCCTGATTGTTTTAGAGGAGAGATGACATGGGCTTGGGTGTTAAACTGGGTATGGGATGGAATAAGATTTTGAGAGTTGAAAGTGACTAAAAGATTGTATCATTCACCTTTACCCTTGCCGATGAGGAAATCAAGCACTAGTGAGATCAGGTACCTAATCTCAGCCAAAATTAGAACCTGATCTACTTTTTTCTATACCAATTTATAAGGAGATTGTAATTATAAGGAGATCTTTTAAAAAAAGAAAAAAAAAAAAACCTGGGCTGTAGAATACATTAGGAAATAATAATTATATTAGGGAGTTATCAATAATTCATCCGTAAAATTGGAGATGATAATATCTACCTCCGTGAGCTGTTGGAAAGATTAAATGTCATCTGGGAAGCACATTTAAGTAGACTGCTAGGCAAATGATGCTTACTGCTTTAATGGTCAGTTTTTACACTCAAACATGCACACACATACGCACTGTCCAAAAAGTGAAATCTCTCAGTTTTATAGATTTGAGTCCTTGACCAAAGACTGAAAGAGTAGTGAAGCCACATGTTTGCCTTTGTCCCACATAATGATAATGTTCCCCCCGATACCTTTTACTGGCACTTAGTCCCTTAAGTGCTTCTGAAAGTAAAACTGATGGGAAGTCTTTTATATCTGTTAGATTAGCAAAGATCAAAGACTTGATAATATAGAGTGTTGTGAGGGTGTAGGGAAACAGTACTCTCACACATTGTGAACATTATCCTAACCATTTTGGAGGACATTTTGGCAATATCTTAAAATTTTTTAAGTCCACATGATCTTTGACTTAGGAATTTCAATTCTAAGGGTTTAT